ACAAGCATCTTCTAAAGTACCAAGAATCCTGGGCTATAGTTACCAAAGATACTTACTCCAAATTGAACCCTAATAGTTCTTGGATGCAGCCAAAGTCACTTTACATTTATGTGCTCCAATTCCTTTATCAGTCATAAAGTTATCATAATATGCTTGTAAGATACTTTGAGATGCTTAGAAAAAAAAGACGTCATAATAGTAAAGCTCTATTTAAAATTACACTGGGTGAGGTGGCACATACTTGTCATCCCAGCTACTTGGGAGGTTGAGGTGGGCAGATTGCTTGAGCCCAAGATTTGAGATCAGCGTGGGCAATATAGCAAGATCCCTTCTCAAAAACAAGACAAAAAAGATGGATGAAAAAAATAAAAGCAACAAATTGCTTTCACCTTTTGCCAGAGACTGACTATTAATGTGGATAGCAGGACAGAATGATCCATTTAAATGAAGGTACCTGAGCAATTTTATGGGGAGGGTGGAATATTTGGTTTTCCAACTTTTCCCTTTGACTTCATTTCAGTCATCAAGATATCATCAAGGGAGAGTGCTCTGGAACTTTCTCATAGCCCCATAAAGTAGTGGTCAGAACGAGCAGGTCAGTGTTCAGTTACTTTCTTCACTGAGGTCTATGTCTTTCTTACACTTTTCCCATCACTATATTTAGCTTTCTTCCTACTACCTCCCTGTAATTCAAAAGGCAATTTAGACTCCCATATGGTTGCCATCGAAGCTAACAGATGTCTAGCAAATTAAAACAAAAATTATGACTTATAAACTGCTGATGTATCATCATTTCAGAACATCCTGCAATTTATAGTGAATCATGAGATAAGGCTTGTTACTTGATTCCACCCCCCAAAGTGCCCTAAATCTCCCTCCTCTCTGAATTTAAGCCCTGTGGAAGCAAATTAGATGCAACATTCTGCCATCAACTCTGATAAACCTTCACTTGTAACACAACGTAATATTTGAAAGCACACCAAAAGAGTAATTTGGCCTCAAGTATCTAAGAATGTTTATAATTCTTGTACCACAGAGAACAGAAAAATGTCTTGGTTCTCCCCTAAGTCCTTCAAGCTTCCACTGAACTATGAGAACTTTTTTTTAATAAGTCACAATAAAATCTGTTGAATCCATTTGCCTCACCTCCTTTGCCATCTTATAGGTATTATCATCACCTGGTAGTAATGATCCCAAGGCACCAGACTAAAGCATTCTAGAAGTCCTATAGCCTAAGCGGAACTAGTATGGTATCTGCAGACAATGATTATTCACCATTTGGTAAATACTGAGACACCGTGCTGAGCAGAGTTTATTTTAGTGAATCCTTGAAACTATAACTCTGTTAGGTAATGTTACCTTCCTTTATAAATAAGAAATTAAGGCTCAGAGAAGCAGCTTATATTTTCCAAAGATGACTTCATCCAACCTGATCTCTACAATTTCACCTTAACACCTGTCCGTCAACAGGTACAATCGCCCCCCCTCTTTGAAAGTGAGTATGTCTATGCACATTTTAACCAATGAAACAGATGACAGTGATACTGGGCCTGGTGGCTGGAAGTTGCTTCTTCCAGTCTCAGAGACAGGACAAAATCATACACAGATGTTCCAGCCAGCCACTACGGCTAAGCCCTCCAAGAGTATTAACTACCAGTCCTGTGAGAGCAGCATCTTGAGTGTCCTGCCCCACAGGCCTTCAGACACTCCAGCCTCAGCCATTTCTCACTGGACCTGCACCAGAGAGTCACCCTTGTGAGCCTGGCCAAATCACAAAGTCTGGGGGTGTTATGCAGCAATAAATGACCAGAATGTTGAGATTTTACTACTAGCCCAGAAACAGCTGGGTATCAGAACCATGGTCCAAAACATCTATTAATGGTGTTTAACAGAATGTAAGAATTCAGTGCCTTTTCCTTCTCCCACCCCAAAGCAACATCAGAATTTTCTGAGAAATGTAACTGTATGCTAAGAACCTCAAAAATGTCAATTTCCTGTCTTGAGTTGTTCAAATATGTAATAAGGAAAACAAGGTTTTCCCCACCAGCCTGTGATAACTAATGAGAAAGGAATTTGTACAAGATGTTGACTTTGTTATTCAGAATATCATTACAACTGTTATATAAAAGGATTCAGATTTTACACATGAAACTGTAATTCTAATAATAAAAATGTATGTAATGACTCACAGGAGTACATTTGAGATTCACAGTAGGGAAAAGTAAGCAAGCATACCATACCAATGACTGAACAAGCCAAGAAGAAGTTAGTGAAAGTTTTTTTTTTAATGAAAAGATCTTTGAGGAAGAAATGAAAGTAATAAAATTGGTCTTCAGCCAACTCTCCCTAAGAACAAAATCTATATTTTAATAAGTACCCCAGTACAGTATATGCTATTTTCATTATATATTAGTGCCCATCTATTGTATTCTTCTTTCCCAGCATATTAGATCTCAACAGACCCATTCTTTATCAAAGGCAGGAAGAACTTTACAGCTCCACCAACTCCATGATTTTAACAGCTGAGAAACTGAGACTCAGGGCAGTTAACTAACAAAGAACAATTGCATCAGAGACCCCAAATGAGACTTGCTCAGATAAGCCTGGCCAAATCACAGACCTGTGAGCTACAATTCTAAAGTTTTATTTAAACCACTAAATCTCAGGGTTGTAAGGATTCAGTAAGAACCAGACTGTCAGCGCTGGTGCCACTGAATGTTCGATTTTATCCTACCAGAACTATACCTCTAAATGTCTTCAGTGCATTTCAGATGCATTCTCGCCCATCAGTGTGAAAACGAAGGATTAGGAACCACGGTCTCTGTCAGAAGAAGCACTGGGGATATTTCTGGCAATCATAGAGAGGATGGTTACTCTGTAGAGAGCAGAAGTCTGCAACTTCTTGAAATAGGCTGCCAAATTACTAACTCCTGTTCTTCAGTCACTAACATCTTAGTCTGAATTGCTTTAATCAAATAAAATGGGTACCTTTCTGCTGATCATCACTAGACACCATGGGCTAAATAAACTGGGAAATTTAAATATGGGTAAATTCAGAACAGAGAGCAGGACACAAAAGGTATATGGGGGTACTCAAGGACAGAAAGGCACAGGAAGGAGGGGAGGGTGTGTATAAAGTAGGGAAGGGAAGGGCCCGCAAAAGCAGCACCTCCTTAACAATTCTGCCAGAGGTGCTATTTCAGTTCCCCAACCTCAGTCTACTTCCAGGTTTCCCACAAAAACCACTCCCTCCCTTAAATAAGGATTTTTCAAAATCAGACAAGATGTGGCTCTGTTCAGAACTCTTCATGTAAGCAGTCTGTAATTCTGTGAAGGTTTGCACAATTCTGGGGTTTTTGCTACAACCTAATCCAGAGAAATGGTTATATTTGTCTCTGTGCGCTCACATTACACCAAACTGTAAGGGAAACAGGCCCAAATCCTTTTATTTCCTTTTCATTCCCTGCTGTGAAACTGCAGAGAAAGCCCCTGGGCTCGTTTTGTTGCCTGGTGGCTGAACTGTGCAACTTTTGGAAATGTTCAAGAAGAATCCAGAGGCCTGGACTCTCTGCCCCAACAAAGGCCAGTCCCAATTCAGCAGTCCTCACCTCTCAAAGTCAACAAGTTTCAAGTTCCAATAAATTCAGAACACCTCACTCAGAAACAGGACTACTTATCACTTTTGAACATTTCCAGAAAGGGGAGGGGAAGGAAGTGAAGAAAGTAATTTCTCCTGGCTGTACCTGCTTGTGTTTGATGAGGGTCTGGGGGAGTGATTCCGCCTGAAACCACACATACCCGAAAAGTCTCCTATGAGCAGCTGAGTATGGTATCTATTCATACTTCCCCATGATTAATCTTTATCAGTCCCCAGGACAGATAACATGCTGGCCCAAAATGATGCCTTCCATTTCCCTTCACAAAACATATTTGATCAACACAAGACATTCCTATAAAAAAGAGAAAAGAACCTGGAAAAGTGTAGTAGAAGAAAAGAATATAGAGGGATATGGACAACAGTTCTCACAGATGTATACATTTATAACAAAGCCAAATCAAAGGAGATCCAAATAATGACAGGCTGGGTTCAAACGGCTGTGGATTATACTGATTACCTAGTTAGGTCATTGTTGACTCCACATCGAACAGCAACTTGGAAAGCCCCCTCCCAGACGGCCACCATCTTTACTTTCCCTGGAGAAGGGGTGCCCAGGGCGGAAGAGGATGAGACCGGGTGAGACAGGACAGGAAAAATAACATGGTCTTCCAACCGAGATTTTCCCTTCTCCTGGTTCAGAACTCTTTGTCTGGTTGCTGAACACGTTTGTGAGATCCCGCAAAGAATCAAAACAAAAGAGTAGGGTCCCAGCCTAATTACCATCAGCGGCCAGCACACTGTGGTGCCAAGCAGAGCACCGTCTGAATCCTGTGATGGAGCACCTGCTCTCAGCTCCCCAGCAGATACTGTCTCAGGCACCTTCTCCTTCGCATTTCTCCAAGGGTTTCCAAAAACTACCCGCTGTGTCACTCCTTAAAGAGGAGGACGTGAGGCACGAGCGGATTGAAACATATGTTGTTGGTGACTTGTTATTATCCCCACAATGACATATAAATGAATCCAAGCCACACACCCACTGGCCAGTCCAGCGTGCAGGGAATGTTATCTGCGTGCACAGCGCAGGGCCACACACCACGCATCTGCATCCCACACAAAGCCCACGGTGGTGCAGGGGATGCGCGAGCCACGCGGCTCGGCCGCCTCGTCCCGTCAGACCCGGTCGGAGGCGCAGCGTGGCCGCGTTCGCCACGCCGCCGGCCCGAGGCCCCCGGGCACGGCTAGTGCGTGGGCTCGCTTGCGTGGGCTCCCCCGGTCCTGGGCCCCGCTTCAGCCGATCTTCCGAACCCTAGGTGCCTAGGAAGGCTTATCGGCCCCTCCCGGCGCCCGCAGGGCAGCCAAAGTGACGGCGACGCCGTGCGGGGACCCGAGCGCTCCCACTCACCCAGAATATGACATTGAAGCCAAAAATGAAGTACTTGATGCAACAACTGACTTCAGGACCCTTGTAGTGCTTCCCGGACATCCTCCGGGCTCATGAAGACTCCAGCCCCGGCGGCCCGAGTGTGCAGCCGGAGCCCGGCTGGAGCAGCCCAGCGAGGCGCGGGTGCGACCGACGAGCAGAGCCCGCAGCCCCAGCCCTCGCGCGCCCAGGCCGCCGGGGCCGAGAGCCGAGCAGAACCGAGCCGAGCCGAGCACAGAATGGGAGTCCGCGTCCGAGGGCCAGGCAGTCGCGTTGGCGGAGGGTCCCGGGCTCCGGGAGCGCGGCCGGCGAGATGCTGCCGGGGACGCCGCAGAACTCCCACCGCCGCTCGCCCCGCCCACCCACCCGGCTCGGCCAGGCGCACGGCCCCGCCCACCCGCTGCTCTCCCGCCCATCAGGCCCGCAGCACCGCCCACCGCCCGGGTTCGGCCTGGCGCGCGCGCACCGTGTTCTCCCGAGAGCGCTTCCTCCTGTGCTCCTGCTCCCGCCTCTTCCCGCAGCCCGACCCCTAGCTCTGCGGCGGGCTGAGGACCCGGGCCCGCAGGGAGGAGGACGGGCGCCAGGGAGCGCGTGGACGGGAGCATCTTGGCGCTGGGTGAGCGGCCAACAGAGCTGCAGAGGTGCAGGGCAGAAGCGGCTCCAGGAGAGGGCTGGGCGTGCAAAGCTGCGACCCCCCACCCCGGACCAGTGCGCTTCCGAGCAAAACACGTTCATCTCTCGCCTCTTTCACCCGGCTGTGTAGCTAGGAAGACGGCGTACCCCTGGGCAGGAGAAGACTGAGATCGTGGACTTGGCTGAGGGGCTTGAGGAGTTAGTCCTTAGAGTGTTGAGAAGAGGAGAAAAGGGGCGATGGAAGTCTTCTGGACCCGTGTGACTAACGCAGCCCCCGCCTGCCGGAGGAGAGAGTTTAGTCCGAACAGTGGGCAGGAGAAAGGAGACTGACCCAGTTGTGTATCTACACACAGAGCAGACAGCACACGCTTTCCCCCCACCCCCACCCCCACCCCAGGGAACAGAGCCGAAGGAACTGGACTGCTTCCTAACTCCAGGGAGTGTCCCTGAAAGATCCCAGGATGGCCCTCTGGGGAATACGAACGGGGGGTTTTTTTAGGCCACAAAGCATTAAGCTCCTGACCTCTGGGGAAGGCTGGATATGGCTGTGGACCCCCACCTAGGCAGGTGTGCCCGTTTGTCGCCCCCCCCCCCTTATAGGTGCTGGCAAAGCAGGGGCCAGTGTCTCATAGTAAAGAAAGGAAAACTGCTCATGGGAATTTTTCTAGGACTTCAAATATCTAGAAAACCATGAGATCTAGAAATGTTTCCAGCATCACTGTGGGCCATACTGGGCCCCAAATCTTCGTGTTTAGTAAGCTCCCCAGGTTGTACTTAAAGTGGAAGAGTTTGAGAGCTTACCACACAGGGTTTTCCTAGGTAATTGCTCATTTTTCTCAAAAACTGATTAGCTGACAACCTCCAGTCAAGCTTTGGTAAGGCAGGAAGTTACTTTTTTTCCTCAATAAATTACATGTTGAAATAGGTGGACCTGGCCTTCAGAGGGATTGGGGCTATGTTGAGGAATGGGCCAGGGAACCAACAAAGGAAGAGGGGCCAGGAGAGCTTGCTCATTCAGTAGTGAAGCCATGACACGGGCTAACACCTTGCCCGGCAAAAACAAGCCACACAACCACCACTCTGGTGGGCTTCAAGAGTAAGGGCTTCTGTTAGCACGGATTTCCCCATTAACGGGAAAGCCTGACAAGCTTTCCTTAAGCCTCTTTGTGCAAGGTTGTAATTCTTTCTATATATAGATAAAACCATTGATGCAGGAATACTGTCAGAGGAAAGGTCTGTCTTAAACTGATATGATATATTTCAGAAACGGACTAGAAGTTAGTTTCAGTTGATGAATTAGTTAATCCCTAAAGGTGATTCATCTTTGAAAGAAAGATCAACAGATGTATTCCATATTCCCTGGCTCCGCACATGTGTAGTCTGAACAATCCCCACCAGAGCAGTACATTTGCTACAGTTGATGACACTCATTGCACCATCATTATCACCCAAAGTCCATGTTTGTATTAGGGTTCACATTGGTGCTCTACATCCCATGGGTATAGACAAATGTGGCATGGATCCACCATTGAAGTAGTATACGGAGTATTTCCACTGCCCTGAAAATCCTCTCTGCTCTGCCTAACTCCCTTCCTACATGTTCTCCTGTCTCCATAGTGCTGCCTGTTCCAAAATGTAAAAATTTTATGTATGAGCCTTTCCATCCAGTACACTGGATGATTCTAAAACTGACTTAAAAAGTGTTAAAAAGAAAAATCAACGGAGAAGAGAAAATTCATATAACTCACTGGCAATTTGGAGGGGGGAATCATGTCATATATCCACAGAAAATTCTAAAAGGATTAATGAGTTAAATATATATTTTAAACTTAAACCAAAAGAAAACAATATTTGTTAAACTTCTGGACAAAAGTAATTTTCAACTTAGAAGCAATAGAAAGAAATAATCAATGGATATGACAGGGCATATCTTTAAATCTTATATGTGTCAATTTTTAAAAAATAAAAGCTAACCAGAAAAATATATGCTAACCAGAACAAATATGAAAAATAAAAGTCTGAATATCTGTATTGTAAGTAGGGCTCATAACAGCTAAAGTAAAATATAGAATCTCAACGATTTTGTGTAAACACAATAATTACATAAGAAATCAAAATAGTAACAAATAAATAGAGAAATTTACCTAGTAATCAAAGAAGTATATGTTAAACCAAACTAATTATAAAGACACAAAGATAATGAGCATTGGTTTTGTTCGTACATTACTGGTGTCCTTCTGAAATGACATGGTCTATTTGGCTGTGTGTAGCAGGTCAAAGTGCTCCTACATTTTGACTCAGCAATCCCATTTCTGGAAATGTAGACAAAGAAATACTCCAAACTATGAAAAAAGTTAGATATGCTGCAAATTGTACATCATAGCATTATTTATATTGAAGACTTGACCACAAATTAAAGGTCACCGAGTAAGCACTACACCCAGCTCCTCATAGTCACCTGGACCACAGTGTTACTTTCCATTTCTGTGTTCTTGCATATGTCATTCCTGGTCCCTGCCTGGGATGCTCTTCTTTCCTTGCCTGAGAACTGACTCCTCTTAACTTGTCCTTCAACAGTTTTGTTCAGTAGCTTGAAGGCACCTTTTCTTCCCTTGATGCCTCCTGCATTCCTTCACTTGGCACTTAGAGATGGTCTGTAACTCCTTGTTTACCTGACTCTTCCACTCTGCCTTGACTCCTTCAAGGGTATGGTCTGTCTTTTTAATATAGAATCACCAATGCTCTGCAGATGTGGCAGGTGCTTCATAAACATTTATTAAAGAAATGAATGAATCATTTGCGCAAATGTCTTACAAGTATTAAGGATGATGATTATAAGGAATGTGTGGTGATGGGTGAATACATTATAATGTTAACTTTTAAAGGCACTATGTATGAAATTATCTCCAAGGAATATTGTTAAATGAAAAGAGTAAGATGTGTAACAGTATACACAATATATTATTAAATATACAAAGAAGTAGGCTACCATGTTATAAAAATCAAGTGTGTTGACAAAAGAATATGTACACATATTTCCTTGTTGGTGGGTAGGGTATCTATGGAAGAAAATAAAAGAAACTGATCATAGTGGGGGCACATTAGAGGACTCCAAACTGTTAGTGAGAAGGACACCTGCTTCATTTTTAAATTACTGTTTGTTTTGAAATTTTTACTATGTGCATATAATGCCTATTTTGAAAAACAAAACACTTTACCCAATTATATGAAAAAAATGTTCCTGCCTAATACTATTAGTTGTTAGGCTGTGGAGTTACAGGTGATTCTGTTTTCATGTCTGTGGTTTTCAATTTTTTTGTTGGTTTTCAATTTTTTATCTGGTTATATTGCTTTTACTATTAAGATAAAATTATAAGTAAAGACTTACATAAGCAACTATTATATTTATTTACACAACTCCTTTGTGAGTCAAATTCTGATCCATTTTAAGCAAAAAGGGAAGGTAATGTTCTCCCTGGAGACTGCTACAGCCATTGCCTATATAATCTGAGGTTGAAAAATGGTTAATTGTTTTAATTATTGAAAAATTAATGAGTTTTTCAAATGGCAATGAAAATAGGTAAACCATGTTCCTCTAATAGTGGCATCGTTGTGCACTAAGATGTGACAAAAGCATTTTAAGTCAAGCCTTAAAAGTCAAGCCTTGGTACAAGCCTGCTGTCTCTGTCTGCCTCTTGTTTTACTCTCTGCCCACCTTCCGGGCTCCCTCCTCTTTTTGTCTGCTTCACTATCTCCCTCTCTGCTCCATGAGTTCTACATTTTCTCTGTCTTCTCTGGAGCTAGTACTGCTGGTTGTCTGCTTACTCTTTGTTCCTAGAACCCTGTTAGTGTTCCAGAGTCTCCCTCTTTAAAGAGCCAATGCCTCTATACCAAGCCTGGAGATCTCATTCTCTCTCCACTGGTTTGGAAGTGGGCAAATGACTTCAGTCATGGTCCATGACATGAGAATCAGCTTGGGGTCTCCTTGTGTCGAAGAAAAACTCTTTTGTTGCCTTCAGATTTAATTGTTCAGGATGTGACACCAGATCTGTAATCACAAAGCTCATACCAAGGATGGCAGGAAGAAAAGATGAGAAGAAACTGGGCCTGCATTCACACCTTGAACATCAACCTCTACCTCAGGACTTCCTGCCCTGTGAGACCCCTTTTTGGGTTGAGACCCTTTGAGAGAGGCTCTCCATTTCACATAGGTAAGAACACACTGGGCTACTTAGTGAGTTCAAGGCCAGACTGAATTACATACTGGTACCCTGTCTCAAAAGGAAAAAAAAATTTTTTAAACAGGAGAAAAAAAGAGCACAATGAACTAACCCCTCTCCTCTCTTACTTTGTTGATTTTTCTTAAAGAAATATCACCAGTGTTCCTCCATTTCTCTCAGAACCATGTTTTCCCTCCTCTTTCTCACCCCAGTTTCTGTCGCTCTTAAACATATAGGGGAACTTCATACCACTCCTTCCTCAGACTTCCCACCCATAGGCTGCTCCCCACAT